TTTTATTTTTTTAAATTATTTAATTCATCTTTTTTAAATAGTAGTTATTTTCTCAAAGTTTAGCTTTTGCAAGTCCCTCATTTTATGGCATTATAATATAAGAGCTACTTATTTGAATCATAATTTGGTTTTTCAAGCTGAATAAAATATGACGAGATTGATTTTTATTTTTTTTCATGAAAAGAATTCATAAAATAATCTTGAGGTTTAGAATATTTGCTAAGTAGATCAAATTATTGATTTTTTTATTAAAGCCTTGTCCACTTTTTATTTTTTTCCTCTAAGGATTAAACTTAAAATTACAACTTTGTCTATTAGCTTGTAAAAGGATGCTAAGTAGACTTAACAATAGAATATTAGTAACAATACTTTTTTTTTAGCAGCAACAAATCAAGCCTCATGGAGATAATATCATTGACTACTAACAATACTTACTACAATACTGAGAAGTCTAATAACATAAAAAATATGATTTGATGTGAAAAGATAATAGCTAAAATGTTTTCATTACTATATGACTTGAGTTATAATGTATATAAAATACTTGTTATATATGAATATTTTGCATACTATATATTAGTATATGAGAGAATTATGATTTTAATGGGAAGAAAATACTTTTTTTAATTTTTTTTTGAAATAATGAGAGAGGTACAATACATATACAATACTAGTCAAGATAACTTAAAGTATTAATTATATAAAAAAATCAAGAACCTAATGATCAAGAGATTAATTCTAAATACATGTATAGAAAATTAAAAAAATCTCAACATTCCCCTTTAAGTTGGTGCATGAATATTATACATGCCTAATTTATCTAAAAATTTTAAGAATACTTGACTTGAAATTACTTTAGTGAGAATATCGGCTAACTGATCCTCAAACTTAACCTTACATAACTTTATAATTTTATTTTCCAACTTGTTCTTGATAAAGAATTTGTGTATCTCTGCATGTTTTTTCCAACTTGTTCTTGATAAAGAATTTGTATATCTCTACATGTTTTGTACAATCATGTTGAGCTGGATAATGAACAATATTGCATACTGCTTTATTATCATAATACAGTCAAACTGGTTACCTTGGTGAAAAATAAAAAATACAAGTCTTATAATAAAAATCTTAATCATAATGCTTCATAAAGTCTATAATTTATACCTTTTAATTCAACCTATGCGCTTGAGCGAGCAACAAAACACTTGTTTATTATTTCTATGAATAATGAGATTACCATATATAAAGTAATTAGAAGTAGACTGCCTATAATCTATCGCTACAACATAGTCAACATCTATATATACATTTTATGCTTTGATATTATATATTTTTAGCGAATAAAATTCTATTACCATACTCAACCTTTATATATCATAAAATATAATTGCATTCATACATTTCTTTTCTATATTATGCATAAATTGATAAATAATACTCAATACATAAACCAAATTTAGATTTGTGTGAGACAAATATATCTATTTATTTACATATCTTTGATATTTTCCCTTATCAGCTGGTATTTAATTGAATTTAATATATAAATTTGAACCTTCTTTTACTAAAATGTCATTTGATTGGCATACTGATATACATCATATATACCAACTTCTTCTATTAGACTTATATGAACTAAGTAGATGAATCTCCCCACAAGAATTTGATATCTTTATTTATCAACAAATATTTATTGGACTCAATAAATAAATTCAAACTTTTTTCTATTGATGTGTCAACTAGTTGAAATACTAACATGCTAGTTTTTCTAAGATATTCAAGGTTTATTATTTTTTCTAGATAGAAGAATTCCTTTATAATATTGAGAAACTTTAATTCCATAAAAATATTTTAAAAGATCTAGATCTTTTATTTTAAATTCTCTAGCCAAATAATCTTGGAAGGCCTTCTTTACTTTACAATCATTTCTTATAACTATTTATCAATATATACAATGAGTGTAGTTGTAAGACCGTAACCAATTTTCTTCTATGTTTCAATATATTTCATGTTTAATTTTTTTGGAATTTCAGCAGAGTTTACTCATATATAAATCGGTATCAATTTATCGGTAACATATTCATCACACCTTTCAAACTAACACATCCACATAGTTCAGTTTTTCCCTGAACTCAAATCCTTTCCTTCACAAATAAAGATCGTAATTGGTTCATTTATTTGTTATTTCTAACACGTTGCATAATACAACCTAAAAAATAAAAATCAATATGATTACATTCATAAATAATTATTAGAGAATATTATAACCTAAAATTTAAACGCAAAAGCATAGTTAAATTAAATTAACATTTATAACATGTCATCCTAATACATTTCCTAAATAAAACATGAGTTACAAAATGAAATGACATGTTTAGAGATATTATCGTCCAAATACAACATATAACAATACATTTAGATTTGCTAGTATCCTAATACAACACATAACAATAAATTCAGATTTACTAACATCCCAATATAAAATATAAAAATATGTTTTGATTTACTAGCATCTTAATACAATAAATATCCATAAAGGCTCCTACAGCTAGACTAATTGAACTTTTAAACAACTCAATATTGAGGAGTGTGCGGGCGCACGCCAAATTAAATATTACATAATCTCTTATGTTTTATATATACACTTTAAGATGTCATAATATGCTCTCCTAATATGACAAAACACATATCAGATTATTATAGACCTAAACATTTTCAAACTCATGACATCTAGTCATGGTGAAGACATCTATAATACCCCTATCTATCTAGGACCAATAACTTTGTAGATTCTTATCTATTTGGAGCAACAACTGAATAGGTTCCAATACTTAGAACTAATAACACAATGGTTTTTATTCTTTTAAAAATAACAACACAAAAAGTTTCACCACTTACAACCAACCATAATGATTACCATTATTTAGGAAATAACAACATATTGAGTTCCACCACTTAGAACAAACAACATAATAGTTTTCTTTCTTTAGAAAACAACAACATAATGGGTTCCACCACTTGAAACCAATAACATAATGATCTCACTCTTTTAGGAAACAACAACATAATGATTTCACTCCTTTAGAAAATAACAACACAATGAGTCCTCCACTTGGAACTAATGACACAATAAGTTTCTTTATTTAGAAAACAACACATCGTATCCTACCACTTAGAACTAATAACATAATGATCTCA